CGAAAATAAAAAATAGAAAGGCACGTTGGAAAATATACAAGGTGTTTTTGAAATGAGTGCACATATTCAGCACATCAATATGATACAGTCTAAGGAATATTTCCATGATATCAGATTTTTTCTATTTCTTCTAATTAACGAGAAATATTATTCCAAAATTTGAACAAAATACGAGAAAAAGTACAAGTACGCCAATTTAAAACAATTTGGTGACGTCAGATTTGCTACAGTGTAGAACTTTGGGTGGAAAAAGAGGTCTAACCTCAAATTTCATTTTTTCATTGGTGCCATTCGATAGTACACGTCAAGCTTTCTTACTGTTTGAAATATTTGCACTTATTTCAATGCCACCCTGTATACAGAAGGGCACATTTTCACATATTCATCCCCGGTTTCCCAGAGCGTGTGGGTACTTGACTGTAGTACAATAAAGTTCCTATTAGTGTAATAAACTTAGAAATTGAAAATTTCAAAAAAAAAGAGAGATTTACTCAATCAACGCAAGTTTTTTTCATTTGATGCATATTCAAACTATATATAACTTCTGATAAAAACCAATGTTAACATAACTTTTAGGTAGAACAGTGTCTGAAATCTTGTATTATTATATATTTCATCATTTTGTAACAGTAATTGGATCATGTATTAAAACTTGATGACGTGTGTAACATAAATAAATGAAAATTGAAATTGAGAAAAATTCAAAATTGAAACAATTGTTCCAAATCGTTCCACATATTATTTTTTGAATTTTTGGATTCAGCTTAAAGCAGATTTCATAATATGCTCTGAGGCTGAAACTTATAGTTCAGACAAACGGAATCGAAAATAAACAGAAAATGGTCGTATCAAGTCAGAACATCTCTTATTTGAAAATCATCAGTTTCAGGCCCTGTGTATATTGTGGAATCTATGCTCATCGCTCATCCATCAGAAGAATCCTAATATGCAAAAAATATGGGATCTTATATCTCATTTGAGAAGTATTTATACAGTGTCACTCATTAAACCGGCATCATGTGGAAAAAACTTTTGAAATTCGACACTCGCTTTGAAAAATATGGAAAATGGAGTAATCGGATAGAGGTCACGTGACTTGTCAAACGCCACATGTCAAAAGTTAGGTTTTTCCAATTTAGTCGCTGAAAATAGGAGTATTTGTTTGAATTTCGAAAGAGTTCACTGAGATAAATTGTTTCTATTCTAATTTTACATATCTGTCTCGAATTTGAATGTTCTATAACAACTTTTAGTTTTTGGTATTTTTTCCATTTCTACGAAATGTCTGTGATATTAAAAAAACTTAACACCGGGAAAAAAATTTCATTCTAGTAGCTCCATCATGCCACTGACTTTCAATCACTAATCATCGGCAGAAATTTAATTTTCTTCAGAAAATAATAATCCCTGCTTCAAATCTCTGTTGTCTGATGCAAAGTTGATGTATCGTCTATCATTCAGGAGCGAAATTAGAAGGTTTCTAGTCGAAATACATGTGCGAAATTGGGATAGAAAGAATCTGTGTCAATGAACTTTTAAACAATCAAGCCTAATTTGAAAAAAGGTAATTTTTGACATGCAGCGAGTCACGTGACCATTTTGAATCTTTTTTTGAAGCAGAACTCAACGACTAATCTGAGATTCAAAATAAATTATGATTAAAAGTTTTTCCCATACGATGCCAACTTTATGAATGACACTGTATAAGATGTCACTAAACTAGTATGTTACTGAATTCAAGAACCAGTTGAATCGCCTGGTTGAATATTAACAGCTGTTCTGGAAAATAAAGTAGCAACAACATCATTTCTATCCAGTAAGTAGAGAGAATGCATCAAGCTGAATTTTGAGTGATTCCATAATTTCAGCTGCATTTCACATTTTTAGATTTTCTGTAAATGATATCGCCACTGAAACGACAGATTTTAGTGTCGTGCGCAAATAAATTCTTCAGAAAATGTATTTTTAAAACGGACTACATAGTTATTCACTTCAGAGTTACCAAATCGCTGTCCGTAAAATTAGCACTCGTTTTATAAATATTTTTTCATTCACGGGTAATATATCTTGAACCTACACATCCCAAAACATTTCGCTATATTCATAAACACGTTTCAATCTCCGAAAACAGAAATTGGACTGGAAAAACGCTTTAGTATTGCTCAACCACTAAAAATTATATAATATTTCATGTAACGGTGAAGTTGTCTGATGATAGGATTACATTTCGATCCTGAAACTGGTAAAAATAACAAACACACTAACTGGTGCGAAAAAAGGTCAATTACTTTGATTTCTTTCTTTGCACAACTTCATAAATGAGTGCAATAAAGAGAAATTTGTTTTTCAGAAAATCAAAGTAGATGAAATTAAAAAAAAAAACACAATTCGAAAACATAATATTCAATCTTCAATTCAACTAACTTATTATCATTATTCCAGATTATTTGGGATTTCCTCTCCTCGTTTCTATACAATAAAAATATCAATACACTGTTTTCAACATAAAAAATTGATTTTTGTATGAAAAATTCGTATTTTTCTTGGCACTTTTCAGTTCTCAGTGACTATTGGTGACGTTGGCAATCAAATGAGTTACAGGATGTTTTAATTCATTAACCTTGAATTTACCATTTTCAGATTTGAATAGTGAATACCATGTTCTATCTATATCAATCGAACAGGAAGCAATGCTATTGTCTCCGTTCAGAAGAATGCAAGCAGATTCCTTGATTTTTCTCTTCTGGTTGCTATCCTCTTTTCCAATGATTTTAATATTATTCCACTTTGCCATATGTTGTCCATCTTCAGTAAGGATATGTTCGCTTTCGCCACCGAAGATCTACTGGAGATCTACTTGCCTACGTTACCCATTTATGGCAAGCTTCATTAGAAAAACACGGGGAATCTCTAGCTGTCGCGTTGGACATATCGAAAGCATTCGACCGTGTTTGGCACGAAGGACTCCTCCACAAACTACCATCATACGGCTTACCACCTCAGCTATGCCATCTCTTATCGAGTTTTCTTTCAGGCAGATCGCTTCACGTGGTGGTGGACGGTGTATCGTCTGATACCATTGGCATCAATTCCGGCGTTCCACAAGGATCAATTTTGGCACCAACTTTATTCCTGCTTCATATCAATGATCTGTCGGGAGTAACAACTTGCCCCATCCACAGCTTTGCAGATGATAGTACCCTCCATACTGCGTTCTCTTCCAGAATTCCCATTTCTTTCCAGAAGACTAAGAACTCACGGCGCAGGCAGGTCAATGCTGTCAATGAAGATCTTGCTGAAATTACAGCCTGGGGAACCAACAACCTAGTTGAATTCAACGCCACCAAAACTCAAGCCTGCATTTTCTCTAGAAAGGCGGAACTCAGTGTGCCCGATATTGCAATGTCTGGCTCCACCATCCCCACCATCCCCACCATCCCCACCAACCCCACAATATCTATGCTCGGTATCTCCATCAGCAACAATCTTCCATGGGATAATCATGTCAGATCCATCGCAAAAGCTGCTTCGCAAAAACTCGGATTCTTGTTTCGTGCGAAAAGCTTCTTCACACCTCAACAGCTTCTCATGATCTACAAAGCGCAGATACGGCCTGTTCTAGAATACTGTTCCCACATATGGGGTTCAGCACCAAAACATACGCTGATGTTCTTAGATTCCATCCAGAGAAGAGCCATTCGCCTGGTGGGTGACGCCACACTCACTCACTCTTTGACATCATTGGAACATCGTAGAAAGGTCGGCGACCTTTCACTTTTCTATCGATACTTCCACGGGACATGTTCTTCGGAAATCTCTGCTATCATCCCTTCACTAGCAATACCAGTCAGACGAACTAGACAAGCCCAGTCAGCACATCCTTTTGTTGTCTACCTCAAAAGATGTCGAACAGCACTTTATCAAGACTCCTTCATCCATAGAACGGCTAGGCTCTGGAATTCATTGCCTGTGGAAGTATTCCCAACAACATATAATCTCTAAAAGTTTAAAAAAAATTCCAATACCTACCTCCTGCCCCTATCCTCCCTCGGAACGCACGATGTTCTCTGAACATTATAGGGATTCCCTTTCGTGCGACCCAAGCGATAAAAAAAAAGAGCTAGTTTCGATTTGTCGATGTGTCTTTTCTTTATATTATTATATATATATAATAACCTACAGACAGTATTTAACATATTATCATTTGAAAAGTATATCTAAATAATATATTTTTTGAATGTATGATAAATTGACATTCATCATACAGGACGTGGAAAGAAATTCTGAATTGAGAAAACCTGATCACGAATCTGCGATTGAGGTCTATGAAAATAACAAGTTTTCATCGTTCAAGTTTGAACCCTTTGATTGGGATATAGCCAGGAAAGTAGTTGTTTTCTGTTGAATAAACCGTGAAAGAATTGATATTTTCATCACATGGAGAATGCGAATTCTCAATGTATTTCTTTATATATATATATATATCAATTTTTTTGTGTTCATAAATATATCTGAGAATGTTCCTTTTCAATAAATAATATATATTTGAAAATGTATTAAACCATAGCACCGTTAATTATTCTCCATTTTTTCGAAATTGAATTGAATAACTCAAACCATTGATTGACATTTTTTGAAACTCCCAATGCATTTGTTAATTTTGTTTCCTTAAATAAGAACGTGAGTATACAGTCATATATTTTTCTTAATTCAATGATGTATTAACATCGAGTGGGTACTTATTATTTTTTGTCAAATTCAACAGAAAAGTTGAATTATTTCTTTCCTCAAAATAGTATCATATTTCGCTGTTGAAAAAGTTGATATTCCTACTAATTATTAGTACTGATTTTTTTACAATATGAATGAACACCTCACTATAATCATAATGATCTCGTTTAATTTTGTTAATATTACTATACCCTTATCTCAAGTTTACAATTTTTTTCAGGGCCCTCTTTTTTTGATCTCTCAAGCGTACCAACCACACAAGCTCCACCATGGACGCCATCAAGAAGAAAATGCAAGCGATGAAGCTTGAAAAAGACAACGCCGCTGATAAGGCCGATGCCATGGAAGGTCAATTCAAGGACGCCAATGCTCGTGCGGAAAAGATCAACGAAGAGGTGCGAGAGCTGCAAAAGAAGCTGTCCCAGGTCGAGAACGACCTCGTCACAAACAAGCAGGCCTTGGAAAACGCCAACAGCCTCTTGGAAAACAAAGAAAAAATGCTCACCCAAGTAAGTAACTACTACTGGATTCACAGCACTTCTCAGGTCATCAACTTTCATAAAGTACGTCACACATTATCAGCATAAATTCATTAATGGGTATCCAAAAGGAAGCAGTAGGTATGGCGGTAGTTAGGCATTTCCCACCACTTCCTCTCATAAGCTCCTCCTCCAAGCCAATCAGGGTTGTAGTTTCATATAGATAAGTATTCCTATGACTCATGATTTCAAGACACCATGGCATGCCTTCCAGGAGTGCCACATGGCTCCATTCTACACTTTTCACATTAATGATCTATTGCATACGGAAGTAAATGACCGTTCGGAGAAGATTCAGAATGAGGTGCTCTGACGACATAAGCAACAATAGTTTCGAAGAAAGCTAATCATGCGAGTCCTGATACCATCATGTCCAGTATAGCTATACTCATCGGTTCATCTTCATCAATGTTTGGTGTCAGGGTATCTCACAGTTTGTCTTGGAATTACCACATCCTCAACATAGCCATGACTGTATCCTGCGCCAAGAAGTATTGCCTTCAAGATGCACACATTCACTGAAGAGGTGAGTAGAAATCTATTCATCCTCTAGGCACAATCTGCATTCAGAATCTTCCATAATTCCGATTGTGTTGAAATGTTTGTTTAAGAGGCAGTGCAGTCCCCTGATCAAAGCCAAGAGAGCATTGGTCTGTCCTCGTGATGGATTTCCTAGCTGTCCTTAAACTTTTTCATCTGGGTTCCCTCCATACAGAAGTCGTTCCAGGATGGAGTGCTCCCAAGACTGGGTCTGAACCAATCGCTGTACCCTTCGCCCCCTTTCTGTCCAGAATATCGACCATTTCATTACCAGGTAACACTGAGTGCCCAGGGACCCTCAGAAGACATACCTTATTCTGACACCAAGGAGTAAGTCACTCTTACGAAGTGAGCGCCTTGATCTCTGCCTGGCTGTCAGTGCATATGGTATCTGCTGGCTGTGAAAGCCACTTCCGATATTCTCTTGAAAACAGGCAAGTATTGCAAATACTTCAGCCTGGAAAATTGCAGTATGATCTAACAAAGGGCAAATGGGCGGAATTCTTGTCATGACCATACGAATCAAGTCAATTCCTACTCAATTTGTGTGGACATGTCTGGGGTTCAGCTCCAAATCACTCCATGACACTGCTGGACTTGTATCAGAAGAGTGCCACCAGGTTTATTGATGACCCAACTCTGAGAAGATCAATACAAACTTTACAATATCGTTGTAGCCATACTGTGTCTAATTTAACAGTAGTTGTTCCTCCTAGTATGACCATCATTCAATGAAATACTATCCATATGCATCGTCACTCACCAACTGATGTCTTCCTAGGGAATATGTATGGTGAATGATGAATAAGGATTCCATATTCTTACATGGATAGATAATGAGAATTTCATATTGAAACTATAAAATAAATGAATAGTCCCAATGAACACACTGTTTTCTGTTCTAGGCAGAATCTGAAGTTGCCGGGCAAAACCGAAAAGTCCAGGTGATTGAAGAGGATTTGGAAAGATCAGAGGAGCGCTTGGCCACAGCTACCACCAAGCTCGCCGAAGCATCGCAAGCTGCTGATGAGAGCTTCCGGTAAGCATATTACATTATTTCAAAGAGCAAACTACCAATGAAATGACAATATATCAGACTGTATTCGGTTACTGTAGCCTCATAGTAATGATGATAATGCGGTAGGATCGATTTATTAATATTGAGATGCGAGTTCACCTATATAATCGTGCTTCCCTCCATCGTGGAAATGAAGACATACTTTCGGAGCTTAGCATTTAGATGACAGCACATCGGTTTTTTCAGTATCAACTGTTTCACTTACTACTTTATCAAAAGAATTCATAGATCATTTCTACATATGTTTATATCATTCAGAAGCGGCAGTAGAATCGAAATATACTTATACATAATGTGTTCAAGAATGAAAGGATTTGAGAACACTATTCAGCATCCTAGAGACAATACAAGGAATGTATCTATGGTGTATGTGATTATGGTATGAATAGAAAAACGAGAGACTGTAATAGTATGGTATAATCTTTCTTTTTACGAATATATTCGCCTCCTAAGTTTTAGACTATTCTATTTGAATCGAAGAGTTTGATTTTCAGTATCAGCCAAGTACCTACTGAAAAAACAAGTTATACATGGTGTTTCCTAACTACGGTACGAAATTCCAGATGTTGATTCGTTAGATCGTTTTGAGAAAAAAAATTTTCTTACGAACATATATGTCCGCAATTACTACGTTTTTGAGATACAGAGCGTTGAAGTATTTATAAAATATCATAAATATCCTCACTTATTTGGTTGAAATTTGCTACAGTTATTGGAAGTAATAAGGCGCTTATTCAGCACTAACTAGATTGAAATTATTGGGTCCAGTAGCGTCTCAGCCAACAATATTGAAAAAAAGAACGTCACTGACTTGTAGTTTCTTATTCTCTAGATCAATCAACTGACAATTAAACCCTTTCGTCGCTCATGCAAAGTAGGTTGACTGTCTTAGCTGAAATCCTAGCCTCGCTAAGCTCGGCTATGAACTATCAGCTGCGGCAATCAAAGGTGGATTGATTGCCGCAGATGTCACAAAACTTCTTTCTCGTAGGAAATTACTATCATTCCGTTCTCGTTAAACAATATACTAATTCCCAACTCCGTTTCGTTTGTTAAAGTAGTTTCAAAATTATTATGACGTGAGTTTTATGTCATTTTGACGCGACATCAGGAAATATAATTGGCATTTTTCATGCATAATGTGTTCGACTATGAAAAGGTATTGATTCGAAGATATGAAGCATCCTAAAATATCATATGATGGTGAAATAAAAAAAGGAATGAGCTTACCATTATGAATATGAATATGCAGAGATATAGAATACATTTCTCTTTTCAGTATGTGCAAAGTATTGGAAAATCGTTCTCAACAAGATGAGGAACGTATGGACCAACTCACCAACCAACTGAAAGAAGCCCGTCTGTTGGCTGAAGATGCTGACAACAAATCAGACGAAGTATCCCGCAAACTGGCCTTCGTTGAAGATGAACTGGAAGTAGCTGAGGACCGTGTCAAGGTAAAAATTACGATAAATTCGTTATCTCTTTGATACCATTTCATCATCTCCACAAAATTCAATGACATTATTTACACAATCAGATATCAGATATATTTTGGTCTCAGCAACTACCATCTTCAGCGCGAAGCGAAAATAAACATCATCGAAATAGAGAATCCCTATCGGCCTAGCCAGTAAATACCTCCACAGTAGTTTTTTCTGAAAAAAAAAAATACAAAATCATTAGCTTGAGTAGAGATTCCAACTTCGGTCTTTCCGGAAGGAACGCTACTCTAATGACCACAACCACCATGCTTCTGTACTACAAAACAATTTTATTCGCTCTTCACTTGCCGCCCTGGCAATATTTCCCGTAGAGATTGTAGATTGTAGATGGGTCGTATAGGCTGGGAGACCTCTCGATCACTGCGACCTAGAATATCTATTGTGATTACCCTTATCTAGTTTTGGTCCTCTAACCCTAGACTTCTGATGAAGCCTCCAATTTTCCTGACTGTTGAATTTTCCACCTCAGCAGGGGTGAGATAGACCTGTTCTATGTGGTTCAGCTTTTGGCGGACTAATACTTCACATGAGCAAAGTATGTGTTCCGGTTTCGGTTGCATTGTTACAAAAGCGGCAAGTGTCAGTCTCCGCCAGGCCCATCTTTTTGAGGTGGTACCTCAGAGGGCCGTGTCCTGTGAGAAAGCCTGTGATAAGCTTTAGCTCTGGTTTGCTGAGGCTGAGTAGCTCTTTTGCTCGGTTCTGCGAATGGTTGATGAACCTTTTCGCTTGTCGTTGACCTGGAGTTGCTCTCCAGTAGGAGGACTTTTCAATTTCTTCTCATTTCCTGAGTTCTTCCTTTAGGTGACATTTGCTTATCCCACAAAAAGGCTCCGGACCAGAAAGTGCAGATGCTGCACCTTTTTTTGCAAGGCGATCAGCTGCCTCATTTCCTTTGATTCCTTCATGCCCTGGAACCCACATAAGTGTGACTTTTGGCACCTTTGGGCGCAATATTTCCCGTAAAGTGGTGCTATGGCTAGACTCTATTCTTCTTTGATATCCCCCTGTATATAATTTGTTCGGTAGGGAGGAGACGCCAAGATCATGGAGCTCGAAGAAGAACTGAAAGTCGTAGGAAACGCCCTGAAATCTCTGGAGGTATCAGAAGAGAAGGCTAACCAGAGGGTGGAAGAGTTCAAGAAGCAGCTGAAGAGTCTCACTGTGAAGCTGAAGGAAGCCGAAGCTCGCGCTGAATACGCCGAGAAGACTGTCAAGAAGTTGCAGAAGGAAGTTGACAGACTCGAAGGTAACAATATGAAATGGCCTTTTAATATTCAAAAAGAAATGTTCTTGCGACTGCACCAGTCGAATATCCTATGTAAATCACCATACCCTGTATATTATGGGAAAGGGTATTTCCACGTGTTATTTGACCGCTTGACCGCTATAATCAGAAAATTTCACCAATACTAGAGTTTGGCAAATATAAATATTTTTCTGTATTCCTTATAAACTAACATTAGCTAAAGCAACAAATAATGAAACATGCTGAGGATTCATTTTGTAATAAAACGAAGCCCATTCCATTTGAGTAAATGTCTCCTTCATAGCTGACTCAAAAGTCTTATCCCAGTAAACACACTCACGTTGAAATAACATAGTAAAATTACCACAACAGTCGGTTGAAATAACGTTTGATATAAACATTTAATCACGTTGAATCAACGCAAATTGTTGCTGACATCCACGTACTTATGCAAACGTGTTTTCAACTACTAATTATAACGTAAATAACCGTTTGAAACCGGTGGAAACTGTCTGGTTCTCAACCAAAGTTTTCACGAGAAGTAAACGTGACATAACAACGTTATGTTACTGCTCCAAATAACCATGATGAAATGTTGAAAATTGACGATTCAAACAAGTTGGTAAAAAAGAGATTTCAACGTTCACTTCGGATCAATTTTCAATCGGTGAATTTTCGGTTTCTGAAACGTTTTTTCAACGTTTTAGCCAAATTATTCTTGGTTATTTTTGTGTCTACAATTATTTCATCGACATTTTTATGACTGTAATTATTATTATAAGTTACTAACTAACTTGATAGTTTTGTCCATGTATTATGATATTTCCTTTTCTTAGCTGTTCCACTTCTCTACGTATCGCTATTCAAATATGCTCGACTACTTGTATTTGTACCTAAACTCTTGATGTGAGCGTCGGCGAGATGTAAAATGAATGAATACACGTTGTCTAAGGACGATTAACTTACGTTGTTAGAGAAAATATATTTCACTTATTTTTCTCTCCTAATGGTTATCGAATACTCTCAATAATACGTTTGAGTGACGTAGATTTCAAGAGTTCAATAAACGTTAGTTTACCGTGAGGACTTTGCTGGATCAATGGAAAGGTAACTCAAATATAATGGGGATCTTAGGAAATTAAAATTTTTCCGGATATCTCCGAAAGTATTCGGGATTTTCCAAGTTTCAAAACGGCATTTTGTCAAGCATAACTTTGCCATGATTCAACCGACACTGTATCTCTTACGGGATCACAATGATGAGACTCTAGTTCCAGCCACCCTGTACATAATTGATAATTCCCAATATTGAGGTAAATATTGAAATTAATGTCTGATATTCGTTTGAAAAATCAGAATATCGATGAATCATCTTCTTCACATAATAATAGACGTATTTAAATGAGTAATTTTCTACGTTTTATCAACATTATCAGTACACGATTGAATGACGTATCAAGTACATCAAAAGTCGTGCCAAAAGTTATAAATGCGTGAATTCAAAACGTTTAAATAAACAAGAATTTGTTGTTTCAATCTATTATTATTCTAACGTTATACACTGTGTCCATAAAGTCACCCCCCCCCCCTGGTTAACTATTGAACGGATGGGATTTATTTTTTTCAATTTTTTTTGCTCCAATGGTAGTTTCAGTGCTATATATAGTTTCAAAAAAAAAATATGTATCCTCCAAAATGGCGCCTGGGCGCCATTTTGGAAGATTTTTTTAAATGGAATGGGGGGTCGAAAGATACCTTGATTGAAAGGTCTTTTGATTCTCTATACAACCTCAGAATCTCAGACAAAAATATTCATCCAAAACAAAATGGCGGATGATAACGTTTGAAATCTCACACCATAATTCTTTCGACTAGATGGCTATTGAAGTGCTCGCATGTGATCTTCAAATCTCTATTGGCGTAAAGAAGAGTTCTCTATCCATGAAGATATCAATAGGAAGTCATTTTGAAGAGAATAACATGGTAATCAATTATACCTTTGCTCGATTGTCTTTCCAGATTCTGCAAAATTTTAGAAATATTTATTCAAAATAAAGAACAATGTTTATTCCACGTGACTACCATGTTATTCTCTTCAAAATGGCTTCTATTGATATCTTCATAGATAGAGAACTCTTCTATAGGCCAATAAAGATTTGAAGATCACATGCGAGCACTTTAATAGCCATCCAGTCGAAAGAATTCTGGTGTGAGATATCAAACGTTATCATCCGCCATTTTGTTTTGAATGAATATTTTTGTCTGAGATTCTGAGGTTGTATAGAGAATCGAAAGACCTTTCAATCGAGGTATCTTTCGACCCCCCCACTCCATTTAAAAAAATCTTCCAAAATGGCGCCCAGGCGCCATTTTGGAGGATACATATTTTTTTTTTGGAACAATATGTAGCACTGGAACTACCATTGGAGCAAAAAAAAAATTGAAGAAAAAATCCCATCCGTTCAATAGTAAGTCAACCAGGGGGAAGTGACTTTATGGACACAGTGTATATAAGTTATTTCTAGCAATTATTCTACCGTACGTTGTGAATGTGTCGTTTCATTGGGATAGAATGACGTGTTATTGCTTGAAAGTATCAACGTTTTGTTTTAACGTTCAATAGTGGTTTTAAAATGAGCCCAAAGTAATGAATTGTTGGGAATAAAATGTCTGAATAACGTGTTTATTTCTCAGTTATCTTCAACCAAATTCCAAAGTTGAAGTTTTCAACATTATTTCCACAATTCCATCCGTTTTTCAACGTTTGATTAACGAGTTCGTGTTTACTGAGAAGAGACTATTTACTATTTTCGAGAATGAAATTATTCAATATGATTATTACTAGATCTGGAGAGAGATTTAGAATGAATAATGTTACCTACCTCAAATGTCAGTAAGAGCACGACTGTTTCGGCTAATCAGGCTTGGTCAGTCGTACTCAGTCTGCTGAGAATTTCGAGAACTCTACTCACGATACCGGAAGTTACTTGACTTGTAACTCTCGGTATGGAGATGATTGATAACGTTTTCTATGCTTTGCTTTAATATGGCTGTTTTTTTTGCTTTTCAGATTTTGTTCTCAGGGAAAAGAACAAATATTTCGGCATTATCACTGACATCGACAAAACCTTTGTTGAAATGTCTTCGCTTGGCCAGAAGAAATAATCTGCTATCTTCCTTACCGTACTAACCCTTGTGTGTTGATGTTAGAGCTCTTTATATGATTATGAGATGATTGTTTGGGCTCTGTTCATCAACACATATTTATAGCTTAGCTTGGATATCTAGTATAGCTTTTTCCAGTTTTGTAAAATATGCTGACAAACATAATCTGTATATATTTCATAAGTAATATTTATATTTTGTACATAAGCTTTGGCACTAGTTAATTATTTGGAGGTTAACATTTCACTAATCTGAGGCTTTACGCATCTATCTACCACCAGGTGAGTTAAACAAGAAGAATAAAGTTATTTACTTTGTGAGGCCGATATGTAGCGTATCGGCCGTGTGTCCTTCAGGACTTTTCGTAATCCCGCTTGAAGATCACATTTTGATTCCGAAGGAAGAATAAACCACGTCCCTCGTAATTCTACTAAAAATTTCCAACACCGTGTTGTTATGTAACAGTTAACGGCTGCTGGCCGTTAAACTATCTTAACGGATGGAGGCTGTAAACATCAACTTTTCAAATTTCATCTGAATACCGTTTTATCAAAATAAGAGTATGGGATTACGAAAAATCAATTTCTTGTCCTGTGACGTCCATGTTACGTTATGTTTCATGTGTTCTGTGTGCAAGATTAACGTTTCTGATACAGTAATTTCAATGTTCCTTCAGTACCTAGTATAGCTTTTTCCAGTACAACCAGTTCCTAAAAAAGGCAAAATACCTAGCAACTACAGACCGATCGCACTGCTATCTATTATTTCAAAGATCATGGAGAAAGCTATCAACATCGAGCTCATGAAATACCTGGAACATTCAGGTATTATCAACGATAGGCAATATGGCTTTCGTCATCAGAGATCAACTGGTGACCTGCTCACTTACGTCTCACATGTATGGCAGCAATCTATCGAAAAATATGGTGAAACCTTAGCCGTGGCACTTGATATCTCCAAGGCATTCGATCGAGTCTGGCACCACGGACTGCTCGCCAAGCTTTTATATTATGACTTGCCTCGTCAGCTATGTTCTCTGCTAGCTAGTTTTCTCTCAAACAGGTCTCTCCATGTAGTGGTCGACAGGGTTTCATCTGACTCTCTTATCATAAATGCTGGTGTTCCGCAAGGAACAATTCTAGCACCAGCACTATTTCTACTCCATATCAACAATTTGTTGGAAGCAACTCCATACCCAGTATACACAGCTTCGCGGATGATAGTATACCCTCCATACCGCCTTCTCTTCCAGGGCTCCAATACCAGCCAGGCAAATCAGAAACGAACGAGGGAGAAATGTTGACAACATGAATATGGACTTGGCAACAATTCTCGAATGGGGATCAATGCAAACAAAACACAAGCATGCCTTTTCTCTAGAAAAGCCGATCACAGTGTGCCCAACATAAAAGCTTGTCAGGAGTAACCATACCTTTGAAGACACCCATTTCGATGCTTGGTAATACTATCAGCAATAACCTTCCTTGGGAAAATCACGTGAGATCAATTGCCAAAAGTGCATCCCAAAAACTTGGTATTCTGTTACGGGCCAAGAGCTATTTCACTTCCAGTCAGCTGCTTATGATCTATAAGGTACAGATCCGACCTGTCCTGTGATACTGTTCCCATATTTGGAGTGCAGCACCCAAACAAACCCTGTTGGATTTTGCCCAAAAGAGGGCAATTCGTCTCGTGGGTGATGCCTCGCTCACAAACTCACTGACTTCTCTGGAACACCGTAGAAAAGTTGGCGATCTGGCTCATTTTTATAGATATTTTCGTGGACGATGCTCTTCTGACATATCAACAATTGTTCCTCCCTTGGCAGTCCCCGCGAGATTAAACCATCGAGTTGAGGCTTCGCACCCCTTCGTGGTCACTTTGGAGACCTGCAGAACATCTCTTCCCAAAGACTCCTTCATCCAACGAAAAGCGAGGCTCTGGAACACATTGCCAAGGGAGGTGTTCCATGGCATATAACCTCCAGAACTTTAAGAAGAACATCAACTCCTACCACATTTCCCTTGGTTCTTACGATGTTCTCAGAACATTACAGGGTATTCCTTTTCGTGGGAACCAGAACTTAAAAAAAAGAAAGAAAAAACTATAGTCCATGGAAGTGACATCATGGGGGTGTCATTTAGATGATGTTTAGATGGGAAGATGTATTTTATGTTTATTGTGAGAGATGGATTATTTCGTTTTATTGACATAAAATATATTTTCAGATGAGCTGGGAATCAACAAGGACAGGTACAAGTCCCTGGCCGATGAGATGGACTCCACTTTTGCCGAACTCGCTGGATACTAAGTCCTCCTATTCCTTGTACCAAATCCGAATCCAAATTGTCACCATCTCTTCATCTTGTGAACGTTTGATCATTGTTAACTTTATAGATATATTGTATTTCAGAAACTGAGACAGATATCCTGAAAAGTGCCGTCAATCTAGTCTATTGCCATGATTGCTTTAGGAGAGCCGTTTGGTTGATTTAAATAAAAACTATTGTAATATTGTCGTTTGCTTTTGTTTTATTGGATTAAAATAATATTTATCATTTTTATTACCTTGATATTCTTTGTTCTCCCCTTATATTTTTCCTCATAAACAGGGTGATTCGATTCGGTATACATATACTCGTTACGCACAACATTATACAGGATGATTCTTAACCGTTAATATACCTCATGATAGATAACGGTTTGCCTGGAATGTTGTTCATACACAGGATGATCCAATGCCGAGATATAGATTGCTAAAAATCTATTTCGATGTTGATGTGTTGATGATATATATTTATCTTTATGGTTTTCTATTCACATTGAGGAGATTAGTATGCATCAATGGCTTATCCAAATGTTTCTATATCGACAAAAAGGGTGTTACGTATTCTGAGTACTATTGATGACAAAATCAATAGAATTTATTTTCAGTATGCTACTGAGTAGATTTCAATACATTTCTCAATTCTGCCATCTAATTCCTAAATGTTGGGTCACTTCATAGAATTCAGTCTGAGGAAATTCAAACTGCTCAGTTTTGAATATTGATAATTTGCACGTTTCTTTTTATTCCCAGGAAAATTGATTTTATCAAAAATGTTCAGTATTCGACGTATCTTCTCGCAGATGCTCATGTTTCGAGAGGACTTTTTCAGAAATAGATACCAATATTCGATAGGAGAACGTCACCTTGAATCCTTATTCCTTATGGAGGAATTCATGCCAGATATCAAATACTGAACATAATCGATTATGATTAATCTCTTAACAAAGATATGACCAAAATGTAGGAATTGAATAGTGAAATCGAGAAAATTCTATTTCCGTCGACCTCGTATTAACGACTAAGTTAAATGTATATGAAATCGTTCATTAATGACGTCTATTAATGCACGATTGTTTTATAGGCAACCAAACATACACCGCGTGCATTCATTGTTTATGCTATAACTAGCGGAATCTGCATTTAAATCGAAAATATGGATTTCATCGACGATTTTCCGTTAACGGTTTCGCCTTTCCAAGTTTCTGACACGATTTTAATCCCTGTTTTCTAACACAAGGAATTTATTTCCTATGTTGATCATTTCGACAAATGTCAAATGACACTAATGTCAGTAACAAGGCTACTGGGTGATTCTTAGCAGTTTCCGGATGGATGATGAATTCGCGAACCAAGTTTTCTTCATTGCAGGAGAAATGAGAAATATAGTCGACGGAAAAATTTTGTAACCAACTTGTATATTAAAAGGCGATTAATGATCTCGAACATTAACGCACTCGCTTCGCTCGCACGTTAAAATATCTCGATCATTAATCGCCCTCATTAATACACTAGTTGGTTAAATAACTATTGTTCTATTTGAGTTTTTCAATTGAAACATCTTATTTTCTACAACAACCTATATCTCAATAATGAACCGTCTCAAAGATTATATACAGAGATAGATATTATAGTATTTCTTCTAGTTCAATGAGTTATAATAACTTTGAATTCAGATAAATAAGAAAAAAAGCCAGAACATACTCATTTATTTTTTTTGTCTATTGATTATAAATAACAGTTCATTATACTCAGCAATCCACCTATTTATCCAGAAGATTATCTGTGTCATCATCAGTACAAGAAGACATACGATGAATTTGATTCTGGAACAAAAAATCACTCTATTGTGCAGCTGAAACATAGGTGTACCCTCACTCTTCTCTCTCTCTTTACTCTCTGCACTCTTCTCTATCACTCTATCTATCTCTATTCTACAAACGTTTCCTTCCATTCAACTTAAGAACCAATTATAAGACAGATTGAATTTGTCTCAAAAAAGTTCCACGAACTGAGAAAATTCAACACAGGGAAAACAGAAATCTATAATTTGTCACAAGTGGAGAAAAAATTAACACAGACACATTTTTTTAACTCTTGAAGCGCACGAAACGAAATTCCTATAATTTTCGAAGAACATCGTGCGTAACTATAGACAGGATAGGGAGAGGATCGAGGTAGGTGTTGGAATTTTTTGGAAATTTTGGGGAGGAAATGGAGTTACCTTCCAAACATCATCCACATGCACATACAGATTGCACTTGTTTTCACCTGTTGAACTTGAATATGTAAAAATATACAGGGTGTTCCGTTTGAAAAAACAAAGTTGCTAGCATTTCCAAAAAATCGGAAATCCGCCATGTTGAATTGTAATGTGATCAAATTCGAAATAGTTACTTATGCAGGGTGTATCCAAATAAAACAAAGAAAAATCAACGGGCGATTCCTTGTGATGATTTAGGATATGAAGTTCATAATATGAACATGTATCCTTACTTGCTTCGTTTTCGAGATACAGGGTGATAATATTTCCATGAAAAATCGTTTTTTTTATTCATTACTCAATTGTCTTTCCATCGATTTCCATTAAACGTTGTCATTTTGGTTTTATAAGTTGTAATAAAAACCTTTTTTCATCTTCTGTGCGATTTTAGTATCTAGCTTAGCTTTTGAGGAAACAATAAAAATTCGATTTGACTCAAAATTTCAATGTGGATGTTTTCAGGACTTCCATTGAGATTACTCAGTAACCCCAATCACAATCATTTTGAAATTTAAGTCCTTCCTCAGTCTCCAACCATACCGAATTTCGGCACCATGAGAGCTTATACAGGGAGGTTATAAATGAAAAAAAAATTGATACTTCCAACTTCAACATCCTGATCCTGTATCTCAAAAACGGAGCAAGTTAGGACACATGATTATATGAACTTTATTTGCTAGAATATCACAAAAAATTGTTCTAAAATTGTTCTATCCGTCATTCGGTTGCCCCCTTACAAGCAACCCTCAGAAGTCTTCGAGAGTCTTGTGCGAGCAAGGAATGACGGGGGCCTTACCTTTAACGTGTGATCCCTAACAATTTCTTGGGAAAGAAAAAGGAAAAGAAAAATTTCTGCAGTCGATGGAAATGGGGGAGACCACTGATGTTTTGAAACGACATTATCGTGAACTCTATACTGAAAAACTACCAGTGAATTAATTTTGATTTTTTTCATTCATGCTAAGACGATGAAAAAAATAAATTAGTATATGTCCATTTCAAAACACACAATTCCTGCGCCATTTGAAATTTTGTCAATTCATTGGTGTGACTGGTGCGACGTCTTAGTCCCAACACGCCTATTGTCCTTGAACTCACCAATCACACTGCAACCGTTGATTGATATATTACGCTTAAACGGTAAACGCTACAAGACTGCAGAATGACGAGGTGTCAGATAGAGATAGCTACAGTGCGGGACTAATACGTCACGGCTCCACCATCATATTTGGCTTTTCGAAATAACGAATGAAATATGCTGATTTCAAAATGATATGAATTCGATTCCCTTTCACTTCAACTCATAATATTGATTGTAGATCAAACGTAAATCATGATTCATCGATTGAAAGAGGTTTGCACGGATTTCTTCCCTCAGTGGTCTTCCCCATCGCATCCACGACCGGCAAGCCAATGCGGATTAGAATATAGACACTCTGTCCGCACGGCTACCTGGCCCCAAGGAATCACACCTTGAATTTTTTCGGTGTTATTCAGATACACCCTGTATAAATATACCAAATTTTAAAAAAATCCGCTCACGAATGCAGAAGTTACAGGGGTTTCCCGATACCATGGGATACCCGGTATAGAAAAAGTATTTTTCGGAATTTTTATACAAGACTCTCTCTCTCTCCCTCTCTCTCATCCATTCACTAACAATTCCTCCTTTTTTGCTCTACTCACTACCAAAAAACGGCAGATCGAATTAGCTGATATTTTGTAATGGGCTGCCTCATTTTCGTAGGATCTTTTTCCGCCTGCGGCGCTCCAATCTTTGGAAAACGTTACTTGAGCTGCGGCATCATAGAAACACAGCCACGTGACCAGCAAGACGAGCACGAGGTGTTTCTGGAACTGGGGATATCTGGAAATCGAAACAATCGAACATTAAGTAAACGTATAGGTTTTTGCTACTTCATATGGAAATAAAAATTTCAATACAAGAGTTATAGCTCCAAAAACTTCCATGTGGATTGTTATGATATTGATTATTACTATTCAATGCTCAAATTTTATATATATAGCAATAAATACTTTATCTATAAAAAATGAAATAGTTGTAAAGTCCCATTTGACCCAATTATCGACATTGGAAAATTTGTGTCCTACCTAATATCGACACATGTGAATACGTATTAATGACACTTGATAAAATTGCTCCGAAGTAAGTCCTTACTAAAATAAGTAACATGAAATTTTCATGATCTAATAATAATAATCTAAGAACACAGTGGCGTTATAGCTACATGTTTATCAAGATAGAACATAATGAACAAAATAGTCGAATATAGGCATGAGTAGGTACTCAACTACAGAATCAGAAATTTCCGGCAAACAGAGTAGAGTCCGCGTTCATTTTTTTTGTTTTTATATAAACAGGAATAAAAACAGAACGAACCCAGACACAGTATTCACATACTTATAGGTATTTTTTTCCATGTTCTGCTTCCCACGAGAAGGGATATCCTGTAATGTGCAGAGAACATCGTGAGAACTAAGGGAAATAAGGTAGGAATTGGTGTTCTTCCTAAATTTCTGGCAATGTGTTCCAGAGCCTCGCTGTTCGTTGGATGAACGAGTCTTTGGGAAGAGATGTTCTGCAGGTCTCCAAAGTGACCACGAAGGGGTGCGAAGCCTCAACTCGACGGGTAAATCTCGCGGGGACTGCCAAGGGAGGAACAATTGTTGATATTCCAGAAGAGCATCGTCCATGAAAATA